GAGCGAGCGAGAGAGCGATATTCCTCACCGACAACATTGAGCAATAAACGAACATCCACCAGAGTCTTAACAGTTATCCCGTAATGGTTACCTCTCGTGTTATCGTCTAGAATTAAACCGTAAATACTCTTCATGTTTAATAAAATAAGCAAAACAAAAAACAAGTTGTGTTGTTCCCGTCTGTGTGTCTGTTCTCTCAGCTTTACGTTGCTTGTGTCTGGAAAGTGGAATATTAGTCGCTTTCATGCTGGCCTGGAAACTGGAGTGTAATCCAGCCTTATACCTCATCTCACCCTGGAAAGTGGAATATAATCCATCCCCATACCTCGTCGGCGTCTGACATGTGGAAGATGGTAGTCAGTGTCAAGCTGCATTTAACCTGGAGTCTGGAATGTAGGTCAACCTCATGCCTCATAAGAACCTGGACACACAGGTATGATAATATAACACTGCCCTTTATCCTGGCCTGAAAATTCGAATTTAATTCAATTTCGTATAGCGACTAAACCCAGAAACTAGAATGAAGTACTGAGTGAAATTTCGCCGTAAATTGGGCGCTGAAAGTTAGATGACTCGTCCAAAGTAACCTGCTTTGTAGTGGATAATATACCCCCCTTCTTCAGTTAATTAGTAAACCATATCCCTTTCATACCAAATAAAATAAAATTTATTTCATCTTAGCCTTAAATTCAATATTCTTGCTTTCTAGAATTCTGTACGAAGGCCATAACCGCAACTCCTTCCTCCAACACACACTGATTCACCTTAGACCTTAAGAAATATGTACCCAACACAATATGTTATGCGTGAGAATGAATTCTTGTAACAAGGAACCGCCAGCACACATCATACAAGATTGAACTGGTATCCTTTGTAAAATTTGTAAGCCTGGAATGTGGGATCTATTTCCTTCAGAAGAGTTGAGGCAAGCCTGGAACACTGTGAGGTTCTCAGGAAGGCGTCGGTAGTAAGGAAGGAGACGCCGTATAGTGATGGCCACTCCACTTACTGGGGAGCGATAGCGGAATGGAGGTTCGTACATAGACGGGGAGGTACACGAATGAGGAGTTTTATAGCATACTTCCAGAGAGAAAGAGGGAGAGGAAGAGAGATATAGAAGAACAGAGAGACGTACATAAAAACTCTGATACAGACATCAATAAAAAGTGAAAGAGAAACAAAGAAAATGAGAAGAAAATGAGAAAGAACGTTTAGTCGGACTATTCAAAAGAAAGAAAAAAAAACAAGAGTGAAAAAAATTATGTCAAAACACAAAACTATTTCACTAAAACATCACAACCCCAAAAAATAAACGCATACCCACCAAGACAAATCCTCCCGCCAAGTTATACGACTTAAGATTACCGTGAGGAGTGATGTTGGCCGTGAAGACTTTTGTTGTTCCTCTCCTCTTGTAGTGCGACGATAAGTTCACATAATTCAAGCTCCCGTTATGGACTTACTGCGGCAAATTTCCACTGTGGACTTTAAGTTGTAGTGGACATTGAGTTGACTGATTCCTCCAGGTGCTTGTAAATATTTCGGTTAATTCGTGACTTTGCCCTCTCATTCCCTGTAGTCTCTTGCCTTTCCAGTGGTGGTAGTGAGTGTGATATTGTCTTCTCAGTGGTGGTAGAGGGTGTAATATTGTCTTCTCATTGTCTTCTCTGGTGGTAGTGGGTGTAATATTGTCTTCTCAGTGGTGGTAGTGGGTGTAATATTGTCTTCTCAGTGGTGGTAGTGGGTGTAATATTGTCTTCTCAGTGGTGGTAATGTTGTCTTCCCAATAACAGTCGTGTGAGTAAGATTGTCTTCCAAGTAGTGATAGATACCGAAACATTATTATATATTTAAATTTGTCAATATGTTTTGACGTTCTCCTCCGAACACCTTGTATATCACACAGTCGTCTACGAAACTTGATCTTTGACAAATAAATCATCAACCACCGTAGATAAAACTATTAAATTAATCTTTGAATTGAGGACAAATCTTATAAAACAGTATCTTTCACTTAGCAGGGTCGTGTCTATATCGTTCATAGTTTCAATTCTTCAAAAAGTAAACACAATATATATATTTTCTCACCGGAAGGCAGAGAGAACCCAACTAAGTGGCTCCCTTAAAGTACGACATATATCTGGCGGCTAAAATAACACTGACATTACAATAAAACTCTACCGTAAGTTATGGTAGTAAGTTTACATATATAGTACAGGGATTTTCTTAATAGTCAACTTAAGGGGAGGTGTTCGTTTTTCTTGTTTAGTGGTTATAAAGAGGGGTGGTAGGGTAAATTTGACTCCCTGAATTAAAAAAAATCAAGGATACTAGTTTGAATTGTAAATAGAAAGTCTTTAAAATCCACTGATTATATACAGATTTATAAAGCTCTATCTTGTTCATTTCTCTGGCATTAATACAGATACAGTATGTGTAACTGTAGTAACTATGAAATATCACTAAAAATGATAATACTGTAATCCCACTGTGGTGTATTTTTTAGTGACATATAGGTAGAATCTCTTTTTGTAACTCAGGCATTATATCAACGTACTCATCAGATAATGACATGTTTGAGCTATTAAGAAAATTACCATATTGTGTAACTCGCTCCCCCCCCAAAAAAACATATTTACGATTTACGTTAAGGATGCTTTTGTTATTTAAGGGAATTGAATAAGACAACAAAATACACACACTCATAGGGGAACACTTGAGAAATGTTTAAATGGTTCAGAATATAGTGAGCAAGTCATTACAAAGAAAGAAATCAGATTCGACAAAAACATGAGATATAAAGCAAGGAAATGTCCAATGTTCAACAGCAAACGTCCATGTAAATAATTTGCAGGCTTATCAGAGGGGGGGGGGGGTAGCTGATACAAAGATGACTGTGAGATTGTCGTAGATAGGAATACTGTTTTATGTGTCCTCAGTGTGGGAAATAGCCAACAGTCAACCTTGGATAAGAGTTAACGTATTAGAATACTATACTCGGAAAAAAATCCCTTTCTGTAAGATAAGCTGGAAGGGCTGCAAAGATAAGCTGCTTTCATTTTATTTATTTTTTCATTTGCCTGAACTTTCAAATGACACAACAAGTTGAATTGTTTGTGTGTTAGGTATTGGTGTTGTCATGAAGTCGACAGCATAGATGGAGAACAAATAATTCCATAGAGACGTTCTAGACAGCTTGGAATTGAATTGAATTGAATTGAAACGGTTTATTTAGCCAGAAAAACACAGATACAGAGTGGATAATAATAGCAATATTAACATGGCTGAGCCAGTTGAGAACCTGAGCTCTCTTTTAGGCTATACTATACATTTATCTCAAGGAAGTATTATGTAACATTTAGTATCATCTGGAATAGTACAATAGCATGGTGGTAATAAGAACATCCCATAATGTTACCACGGTTATCACTTCAATATTTATTTATTTTATTTATTTATTATTTTTTTAGTTAATTTTTTATTTATTTATTTATATATGCATAAATTACAGTGGAATTGAAAAACATACTGTAAGTATAATGAGGGAGCAGTACAACATGGGTTGTACAGTAATAAGGTTGAACAAGAGGACAGAGCTGTCAGGATTATGTCTAGTTGGCAATTATGTTTATTGCAATGGTAATTACTTATTTATTTATATGATAATTTCCAATAAAACGGTTTTGATGGTACAATAAAAGCAGGTACTGTAAATATAGTAAGTGTTACAAGAAATATTAATACTTCGACAATAGATATTTTTTAAGAGATGATTTAAAGGAAGGGAGCGTAGTCTTTGCTCGGATGGGTGGGGGTAAGTTGTTCCACACCTTCACACCATGATATTTTATGGAGGTCTGGGACTGAGAGGAGCGCATGGGGGGTGGTCTTAGTAGCTCTGGGTGCCTTAAGTTGTATCTCTGATTATTCCGGAACTGGAAATAATTATTTCAAGCAAGTGATTGATAGATTTGTAAACAAAGAGAACTCAGCAGTAGGTGTTAATATCTTCGAATTTTAACATTTTCAATATAGCAAATTTTTCGTTTGTGTTATCTGGGTTTTTTTTTCAAGTAGGTCAATGTCCGTACAACTCTCTTTTGTGCAGTAACCAGAGACTGTGTTTTTGAAGAGCCAAAGGCCCCCCCCCCCATAGTGTGTGACAGTGTATCAGGTGTTGGTAAACAAGATCATGATAGATTTCTTTCATTGCTGTGAGAGTGAGTGACTGTCGAGTGTGATACATGATACCGCACTGTTAATTGACTTTACTGTGAATGGCTTGTATGTGGTTTCTCCAGTTAAGTTTCTCATCAACAATAACTCAAAGGAATTTAGTATTTTGTTCGCGTTTGAGGACGAAATTACAAAGGTACAGGGGGTCCAAGTCTGGGGGTAAGTTTTTCCTTCTGTGAAAGATCGTGTAGTGGGTTTTATTAATATAAAGTAATATCATGTGGCCAGGCTATAAGAGACCTAAGGAAGAGGAGGTATTTGTGTGAGCATTAAGAGGAGGTAGCTGTGTGTGTGTGTGTGTGTGTGTGTGTGTGTGTGTGTGTGTGTGTGTGTGTGTAATACACTAACTGGAAAACGTACGTATGTAATTGACAACCAAAACAATAAACACTTGGTATATGACGATATATGCAACATTAAGAATAGTAAAAGACACATACAAACACACACATTGTATCATACAGGCATTGACAATAACCTCATGCACATTTCAGTATTTCATGGAATATACAAGTTACCATCTCGCTCCTCAGTAGAGTAACCGCTGCTGCACGCCTCTTCTGATCAGTTTTTTAATTAGTAGACGGATGAATGGAGAGTTTAACGTGGCAGAGATCATCAAGTGGATTATCTCTGGTCGTGCCTAAAACATCACAAGGGAAATAAACAGTGCGATTGAAAGTAAAGTTTAAAGACATAGAAAGCGAAATGAATTGGGGTTTGTGAGAGAGAGAGAGAGAGAGAGACGGATAATGTGTACTCACCCATCCAAGTGCTGTTGGTAATGATCTGTAGAATCTTTGCTGGGTCCATGACGACGATGCTGCTTGGCTGCCTTTATGACTCTCAATACCTAAGTCTTATTTTCCTTATTTCCACAGGGACTGAGTTTTATCCAACTGGTGACTGGTTTTACAAGACCCACAGGGACTAGGGTTTCTCCTTCTTTTTTTCCAACGATCACTCCACTTTTTTCAAGAACTAGGAATCTTTTATTCTCTCGCGTTTTCTATACAATCAAAAGGATGGATTCTTAACGATATCTTAACTTTCACCGGATTGGAATCTATACCTTAATGGGTTTCTCAAAAATCAAAATGGCGGGGACCTATTCCTTAGATGATCATATAATATACATCAGGAATAGGGGTCTGTACTTATTCCTCCATTGTTGACGAATATTGGGATTTTGTTTTTTTTCAATTAGCTTCTCAGAATTCACATGGAGTTGGGTTTGTGTTTCTAGTAGTTATCGTCTATTCACAAGGACTAAGGGTCTTCTAACTTAAGTGATCGATCATTCACAATATTCACATGGACCAGAGTCTGTTTTTGTTTTTTTGTTCTTATTACCAAATTTCACATTGCTCGACTATAGCAGTTATTATTTTCCTCACACATACATATAATTAATATCCACCAGTTTTCTATCGTCACATTTATCTTAGAAAGTTATTTTTTTCTACTTTTTTGCAATGTACACTTTGGACAGTTATTACGCAGTCTGAATTTTCATTAACCTGTGTCAAAGTTTTACAATAAATGATTTTCTCAACGAAGTAATATTGTAAACTCTTTGTCTATGGATGTTGGGGGTAATACCAGTAACACTTCCCTTGATATAGATTTTTCTGCACTGATGATGTTCTGAACTGCTGTATGTGTTACTGTATATTATGATAATACGTCTAATAGTTATTGAAGAACATCAGGGTAACGGCCGCCCTCACTCAAAACCCTGTAAAGTAAATATAGATGATTATGGTGTTAGATTTGTTCATCATACGTTTAAAAAAATATTCTTAATTTTTTTTACACCATTATAATCTTAAATAATAAATTAAACTCTACATCTCACTCTATTGACACTTGAACATCATGACTACTGTACAGTCTATTTACATTTGATGATAATACCGCAGTTCACATTACTCACATACCTGTTTAATATATCAATGTATTACAAAAATAGCTGACTTTTGAATGAAAATTAAACATGATATATTTTTCATTTTTATTTTTTGTTTACATATATTGTAACTATGTCGGTGATACTGCGCTGTTAGATAAGTCTGAGAGAAGGTAAGAGAGGTAGGAAATATATTTGGATGGAATTTACAAGATAGAAACTATACGTAAATGATAGAAAGAGGATAGAAATTACTTGAAAGAGAATGTGTCTTGGTGTAATGTTCCTGTGAATGAAGAAAAGCAGGAGGAAATGCAGACAGACATACTGAGACGGGGGTACATTAGTGTTTTATATTTCTACAATAATAACACCATGTAGATTAACTAAGTCGTTTTTGTCGTTTTACTCCAGCAATTGTAATCCAGTAATCCCCCTCACCCTTATGTAATGCCTGTATTAACCAGGATTACAAACCAATATCTATAAACGTCGAGGCAGAACAAAATCCTCCTGAAAATTGTAATCACTAAAATATGAAATGTGGCATGTATATATATTGACCCTCGACCCGAAGTGAGCTAGGTTTTGGGTTGAGTTTTATCAGTGTGTGTGTGTGTGAGCCCGTGTAGACTTGTGCATGTGTGTGACTGCGGCTGTAAGTGTGTCTCAGAGGGAGGGAGGCTGTCAAAAGAAATACCTTCAAGACATGGCCAAGAAATATCAGCCGGGGAAGTTTCGAAAAGAATATTTTAGGGGAAGTCCCAAGTGAGACCAAACCACCAGCTGAAGCACCAATCATAACTCGGTGGGGAACAGAACGAGAATTATGATTGGAGAAAAATGGTTGATGATAACTCGGAAATTAAGTATACGTGGACTGCCTGTTGATGTAGTGTAATTAATTGTAGAATAAGGTTTTAGCTTTCGTAGGCGTTGTGGTAGTTGTGGTAGTAGTAGTAATAGTAGTAGCATTAGTAGTAGTTTAATCATTACTCCTATAACTACTACTACTATTACTACTATTTTAATTACCATTAAGAATAACAGTAATTACAACACCACCACTTCTATCACTTCCATCACTACCACCATTACTACCACGATCACCACCACCACTGAGAGTAATCATTCTTATCTATAACACTGACAATGCAATACACACCACCACCACCACCACCATCATCACTATTACTACCACCACACCACCACCATCATCACACTACACCACACCACTACCATCACCACCACTGCCACCCCCACCACCACTACCACCTCCACCACCTGCACACCCTAAACAAATAGACCAATAAACGAAGAAAGCGTAAAAGGTGGGATAATAAATCAAGATAATTACCATGCAAGACTGACCCTTAATGACCAAGAGCTTAACGACATCAAGTTCTCATTAACGGAGAACGAAGAGCATTAGTGATTAAGCCAAGCACGAGCGGCTGTGACCCCCCCCTCCCACACACAGACTCTGGTGACGAGGTCCTTCAGTGTCTCAGTAATAGTATGTGAGGGAGTATTAGTAGTGGTAATTGGAGGAGGAGGAGGAGGAGAGGAAGAGAGGTAGTATTGTGAGGTACAGTGGGAGAAATGACACTGTTGTTGATAGTAGTGTTATTAGTTGTTATCGTTGTAATAGTACTGGTAATAGTACTACTCGTTGTGGTAGTACCTATAGTAGCATCATTAGTAGAAGAAATACTTTTAGTTGTTGTGAATTCATGGTTACTTCACGTGGATGTCAGTCGGGATTTTTATTCGGAGTTTTTCCATATGTTTGTCCCGATGTCTGTTCGTTGTGACTCCAAAAGACGAACACCAAATTAATGCTTTAAAACAATTATGGCGTAACTTTTCTAGGTGAGTCCTAACTTGACCCAATTATTGTCGATTCTTGCATCTGTTAAGCTACGGTCACACTAGAGAAAGTTAGTTTATGAAGAAGTATGTTTGTAAAAGCAAATCAACATTGAAACATGTCAACACTACCCGCATAAAGTAATCTAAACTGCCTATATCTCTGAGGAAATGCGTTGTATTTGAATGATAAAATCCTTCCTAGTCAAATGAGATTTTAACTCTGATATATTTTGCAAGGTTAAAGAAATTGTCGGTCATACTGAGAATTTCTGGGTTTGTAAGCTATTAACATTCCATATATTTTATCCTGATTTAGAATCGGTCTCATAGTGGCTATCTCGGGTTACATTTTCGATGATGTTTATTTATCATCATGAGGAATTATGGTTTGTATGCTTTCTACCCCCTACATGGCGTTGACCTCTACCCCTTACATGGCGTTGACCTCTACCCCTTACATGGCGTTGACCTCTACCCCTACATGGCGCTGACCTCTCCCCCTTACATGGCGTTGACCTCTACCCCTACATGGCGTTGACCTCTACCCCTTACATGGCGTTGACCTTTACCCTACATGGCGTTGACCTCTACCCCTTACATGGCGTTGACCTCTGCCCTTACATGGCGCTGACCTCTACCCCTACATGGCGTTGACCTCTACCCCTTACATGGCGTTGGCCTCTACCCCTTACATGGCGTTGACCTCTACCCCTTACGTGGCGCTGACCTCTACCCCTACATGGCGTTGACCTCTACCCCTTACATGGCGTTGACCTCTACCCCTTACATGGCGTTGACCTCTACCCCTACATGGCGCTGACCTCTACCCCTTACATGGCGTTGACCTCTACCCCTTACATGGCGTTGACCTCTACCCCTACATGGCGTTGACCTCTACCCCTTATATGATTTAACAAGAATGATCCACCTGGTAATCGTTGGGGCAACTGTCGTCCACACACACACACACACACACACACACACACACACACACACACACACACACACACACATAAAATTCCCCCTTGTTGACAGCTAGAGAAAGGTAATAGCCATAACCATAGGCCATAATTCAATTAGCCTTCAGTAGATGTCGATCACATGCAGTAAACAACGCGAGCGTCCAATACTCTGGGAGCACCAAGCGTCATTATAGATTTCACCTCCCTGGGCTCTTATCCTCAATGGTTCGTACGTTAAAGCCTCCCCTCCTAACTGCAACAATCAGGACAAATTCAACACTTCTACTTAAACACCAACAAAACCCTGAGTGTCAATATAGCGTTGAAAATACTCATCCATCATTAGATACGACATTCTTCACTCACGAATCTTTAGAAATCTGTTCTCGTTTACCCACTAAGAAGACGATAGTAAGTTACAAATATGACAACAAGGATCTGAAACTCTGAGATTCTCACAGTAATATGATTTTTATCCCTCTGGTCAACCTGTTGCTTCGAGATATTACGGAAATTTGACACTTGTTTGGTGATTCAGTTATCTCACGTATGATTTAAGAGACTAGTACAGTAACAAGGTATAACTACAAGTACTATAATAGCATGATAACAGAGAGGAATAAAGTACAAGTATTGGTACAGATACAAGTACTGGTAATAAATTGATACAACACACAAATACAAGTAACAGTATTAATAATTCAGAATATTAGCAGTATACATACATAATCGCTTAAATAATCCAGGTTATTAATTAATTTAAATAATTGCCTACCTTATCCAGATACTCACTTAAGTAATTTCGGTTATTACTTATTAATCTAGATAATCACGTAAGTAATCTAAATAATCGTTTAATTAATCCAAGTAATTACTTCAGTAATTCAGATAATCACGTAACTAATGTCGATAATCGTTTAAATAATCCACGACAATATTCCATTAACCCATATAACTGCTGAGATAATTCAGGTTATTACTTAGCTAATGCAGATAATCGCTTGAATAATCCAGGGCGGTGAATAAGGACGCCGTTATAACCGGGAAAGGAATGTCTATGCAAATCAAGGCCCTCGGAATGTTTTTCTGAAGGGGGCGGCTATAATATTAAGGTGGATGGCAGTTTTGACGATCCTACTCTTGCGGAAGTATGCATGCGATTAGAGTTTTAGACCCGGTACTATGATTTAAATGATCTTTAGCATTATGATATAAATGGCCATTAGTATTATGATTTTAAAAGTCTTTATGGTGTGATTTATATAACTTATAAGATCTTCTCGTGTGATTTTAAAGGTTTTGTTGATATGATTAATACAATAATATTTAATTGGTGTGTGGCATCATAATTCAAAAGACTTTATGAATTAAACGGCTTTAATAGCATGATTCATTTACAAATATAAAGCTCTTACAGTATGCTTTAATGACACTATTTATATGATTTAAATGGCCTCTTACAGTAGGATTTTAAAGGTTTTGATGATATGATTAAGATGACCTTTATTACACAAATACAATGGCATGATTAAGATAATAAGAATTAATAACCTAATATATCTCTCCATAATGATATAATTGATAAGGTTTTCTTTACACGATAATTGTCATTAGCCAGACGGTCTAAATGGAGTTAATAACACTAAGTTTAATATATCAAATTATATCCTATGAAATTCCTGAATAGTGGGATCCAGGAATTTTAATAACGTTATCTAAGTGTCCTTCCTTCTACAGTTCGATTTAATTGGATTCAGTGCTAAAGTTGAAACGAATTAAGGTGATATATTGCCCAGTAATTAAAGTGACATTGTAACAGTCAGTTATCACATTAGTTATAGAATTTCTTTGATATTTGCCAATGGATTTAACTTTTTTGAGGAGACTAAATTATTGGACCGAAATCTGAATTGGGTGTAAATGTTCTATATTAAATACGAAGTTAGGCAATATATGAATTACCAAACACTCCTTAACCAAATGAATAGA